TGAAGTAGGCATACTCGCCAACCGTGCCGTGGGCAGCGTCCAGGGTTTGACGGCAATACAAGTGCCACGGGCACACCAGCACCCAATTCCTGCACATGGATTTCAGGGCGTGGACAATCGTCGTGCCCGCAGACTTGAAGATGTGGATGAAAGCCACACGGCGGCGCGGGCAGAAGAGAACCTCGTCGTAGAGCGGGCTCTCGGGATGAGGGGGACGGTCCTTGGCCAGTCGTGGGACAGCGCCGCGTAGGCGCTCGAGCTCGACCTCGCTGCCGCCGAGGCGGAGGCGGACGAGCTGGCGGCCGTCGCCGCCGAGGCATGGGCTGTTCCCCTCTTGAGCTCGCCTTCCTCAGCACGCGTGAGGGAGAGCGTCCCTTGATTGAGCGGCAGGCGGAGCGCCAGTCCGAGCTTGCCTTTGCCGAGGCGGAGGCGGTGCGCGCGTCGGCCGCGGAGGCGGAGGCCGAGGCGGCGGCAAGCGAGCCCCCTCCCGAATGAACGCCGCGACTCCGATCCTAAATCGAGGCGTAGGCGGAGGCCGAGGGCGGCAAGCGGCACGAGCTCATCACGGCGGCGTACGCCCGCACGCTCAGCCGGTGCGGGAGGGAGAGCCTCGCGGCAAGCTGACCAGTCGGGGCTGAGCTCTCTCTCTCTCGTCAATGACTAGGCACGAGGCGGAGCGGCTCGAATTGTGGCTATGACCGTCGTGATTGATTATGACTACGATTACGATTAGGTACGAGACATATCTCCCCATGTCTCCCCATATCTCCCCATATCTCCCCATTACGATTAGGTACGAGACGGAGCGGCTCGCGGCGGCGCGCGCGGCGGAGGCGGCGGCCTTGGCCCAGCTCAAGCGCCTCTCGGCGAAGCGCGCACACAGCGCGGCGCGCTCGGCGCTCACGGCGGGCGAGTCTCGCGCTGCGGCCGAGGAGCAGACCGCCGCGGAGGAGGTTTGCAGTGGCGGCGGTCTCTCCCTCCCTCCCTCTATCCCTCTCCCCTTTGCTCTCTCTCTCTCTCT